ACTCATATAAGTGCCTTTTGTTTCCATTCCCCACTGGCATCATTGGATTTAACTTCTGAGATGAAAGCAGCAGATTTAACAGGGGTCCTTAAAGGAAGCAGCTGCCGGAACTGGAACAGATTTCCTTCCTCCCAGCGGGCAATAATGTGCTAGGAAATCTGTCTTAGGATTTTCTTCTGTGTCTTAAAAGCCACCCAAAGAGAGCTAATAGACTCACCTCTGGCCATGACCTTTCTTCTGAATCGCCCAGGTATTTTTTTTCTTCCATCAGTAAAACCTAGCGTGGCAGCTGCAAAAGCAAATGTACCCATGAATTATATATGCCCTGCTGCCTTCCCAAAGAGAGAGCCACCTGGGGAATTGATGCCCAAGGGATTCTCCTAATCAGTGTCTACCCGAGAGGAGGCCAAAGGATAAGGTTTGGGTAGGCTCATTTTTAAAATTATAGAATTGCTACTCCCCTAAAGGGCTATTCTATTTCACAGTAGTGAGAGAACCAGGCAGCAGCCTTCCTCTATAGATTCCCACCATTTGACCTCACTCAAAAAGGGTCTTTGATTATACACCTGCCAATAATTCCTGAATGGCAACACTGCAGCAAATTAGGAACTAGCATTTACACCAAACATTACTTTTCATGCTGCAGCATGCAAAAAAAATTATCAGCCTCCAGGTCAATCAACCTCATGATCCTGAAAAACATTGAGACCCAGCTCCTTTATATTGGAACTAGAGGCCCGGTGCATGGATTCATGCACGGCAGAGGGGCGGGGGGGCGGTCCCTCAGCCTGGCCTGCGCCCTCTCGCAATCCGGGACCCCTCAGGGGATGTCTGACTGCAGGTTTAGGCCCAACGCCCAGGCCTAAACCAGCAGTGGGACATTCCTCGAGGGATGTAGAACTGTGCCAAGCAGCAGGTGTCCAGGAAGGAGCCTGAGCCGGGGCCTGGTGCCACACTGCTCACGCTCATCCCTGCCCACTGCGCCTCCCGCCGCCACTCAGTAATGCTGCTGAAGAGTGGGAGAGGCTCCCGCTGCCGCAGCTGCGTTCAACAGCTGTGAGCCCAGCTTCTGGCTGAGTGGCACTTCCCCCTGTGGGAGCACGCTGACACCAGGGGGCAGCTCATGCATTGAGCGTCTGCCCTCTGGTGGTCAATGCGCATCATAGTGACTGGTCAACTGGTCGTTCCAGTCATTCTGGTCATTTGGTCATAATGGTCATTTAGGCTTTTATATAGAGAGATTGCTTTCTTCAATATGGTAGCTACCAGCCACATGTGGCACTATTGAGCACTAGAAATATGGAGTCTGAGTTGAGGCACGTTAAAATATCCACTGACATCAAGGACTCAGTAAGAAATAAAGAATCTAAAATATCTCTTTAATTTTTACTTAGTAAATATTTAAAGAATATTTAAAACATACTGAATTAAAGAACATGTCTTACTAAAAGTAATTGTGCCTGTTTCTTTTAACTTATTAAACTGTAGCAGGTATAAATTTAAATTTTAAAATTACACACATGGCTTCTATTTGTGCTTTACATTATATCGGACAGGGCTGCATGATAGTTACTAGTTTCCAGTGCCACTTGTCTCAGGTTACAGAGACGTGACAACAAGGTTAAGTGCAATGTCCTTTTTATCCCAGCACCTCTGGTTTCATCTTGAGTGCAGGCCATGAAGCTGCTAGCTTTCCTTGCTTTTGTTTCTCTTCCCCCACCCCTGAGTAGTTTCAGTTTCAAAGATAATCAATTAATAGGAGACAAGGAATTAATTGTATCTCAAGCCACTCTCCTTTCCGTTCTTTCACCCTCGTTCCTTTCAGCTTTATTTTACTGATCACCCATCTATCAACTCAACAAGGTATGAGACTGTGTCACTCATATTCTGATAGTAAGACTTACCTTCAGTTATTTTCCACAGAGCTTCTGCTACCTCAAACCCAGGGTGGATCAGTACCACATTCTCATCAGAATTCCCTCCCAACCTTTGGAGCCTGCAATGATCTGAGGGCCAGGTCAGCTTCTGTCCCCACTGCTGAAATGTGGGGGTCGAATTGCCAAGCAGGCCCTTTATTCAGTCCTACAGGGGCATGTAGGGCAAGCCTTCCGTCAGACACAGCATCTTCCTCAAAGTGGGAGGCTTGTCAGGTACTCAAGAGCACGGCTCTTTTGCCCCTCACCCACACGACATGTAGATACAACTGCCACAGACAACAAGTCAAGGCAGTGGCTGTGTCACCTTGACACAGAGAAGCCACAGCCTTTATTTCCCACCAAGCCTATCTACCGTCTGGTCACGTAGGCCCCTGCACGGCTTCCCGAGAGCAGGTGCCTCCTTCACTGCAGATGAAGCAAACCACATTCCCCATTGAGCTGAACTCTATTGTTCGCAAGAAAGTGATGCTGGAAGAACCAGAAGTCCCTCTCAGCAGTCCTGAGACAGCCCCCTTTACTCATTGTCAGTTATGTGAAAAGATATGGTTGAGAAAAATACAGTTGTTCACTAAATATGGTCAATCTTAAATGACTATTTCTGTTGTGAGGTATGGGGGTTTCCAAAGGTTTGAAAATATGGTTAGAACAGATAGTTGAAAAGGTAGTAATTGAATCAGGTGGTTAAAATGTACAAACTTCCAGTTATAAGATAAAAAAACATTAGGCATGTAATGTACAACATGATGACCGTAGCTAACACTGGTGTATGATATATAAGAAAGTGGTTAAGAGAGTAGATCCTAAGAGTTTTCCTCACAAGCAGAATATTTTTTCTTATTTTATCTATAAGAGATAATAGATGTTAAGTAAACCTATTGTAGTCATTTCACAATATATGTACGTCAAACCATCAGGTTGTACACCTTAAACTTATACAGTGATATACATCAATTATCCTATGTAATAAAGAGGGAATATGCAAATTGACCATCATGTTGTCACAAAGATGGCGGTGCCCATAGCCACAAGATGGCAGTGCCCAGTCCTCTCAGCCCCGCTGGAGTCCCACAGTCCTTTCAGCCTAGACAGGGGGGAGGAGGGAACGGCAGGCACATGGTGCAGCCGGACCCACCCTCAGCCCCCCAGCTGCCGAGGGCCGCCCGAAGGTGCAGGCGAGCCTTGGATATTGGCTGCCCAGCCACCCAGGGCTGGCCCAAGGCATAGGCAAGCCTCGGACTTTGGCTGCTCAGCCACCTGGGACCAGTCCGAGGCACAGGTAAGCCTTGGATATTGGCCACCCAGCCACCCAGAGCCACCCGAGGCTCAGGTAACCAGGGCTGACTGAGGCTTGCGCTGCCGGCAGTGGCAGCAGGAGAGGTGTGATGGGGCATCGCCTTCTCCTGACCGCCAGGTTGCCTCCTGTCCCTAAGGACTTGCAGACTGTGAGAGGGCGCAGGCCTGGCTGAGAGATCCCCCCTCCAGTGCATGAATTTTCATGCACCAGGCCTCTAGTTTCTCAATAAAACTAGAAAAAAGGGTAGTCAATAGATACTACTTTACTAAGCACAGACACTAAAATCTTAAAATCTTAGCATTTTTGTAATAAAAAATTCAAAGCAAACAATAATATAGCCTTAAAATCTCCATGGAAACAAAAAAAATTGCCAGCACAAATGAACATTCTTATGAAGACTACTAAAAATCAAGTCCCATTTTTTTGCAGGATTACAGCAATAATTACATGGGATTTGGATCATCAGCTTTTATGTCATACTGGTTTCCTCAAAATTCAATTACTTATACACCTTCAGTTGAGATATTTTCCAATAATTATATGTTTTTGCTTTCAGATGGAATTGCCTTCATAATTCACCAGAAACCTATTTTATAATTATTACATCAACTTTGATCATCTTCTCATTTTTAGAATCCATTTTAATTTTTATTTGTTACTTTTATATTTTGTAATAAGATATTCATTGACCTTCTACTTTCAAAACTTAAAATATTTTTCAAGAGTTTGAATACTTAGTTACTTTTATCTCTTGTATTACCATAAAGATTACTTCTATAAGAGGCAAGCTATAATAAATTTGTAAAATGTCATCTTTGAAACTTTCAATTTTAGTGCAAGAAATTCAATTACTTAGCAGCCATCTACTGTTACAATCTAAATAAATTTTTCAAATTAAATTACTCATTAATGAACTTTATTATAATTCAGTAAGTGTCATGTTTTCCTATCATGAACACTATTGATTTATTATAGTTTTATTAATAATTTTTCCTTAAATTTATATTTTTCTTTCATGTATATGCATAGGGAATTCTCTTCAATTTATAACATTTAAGAGAAAAGTAACAATAATTTTTAGAACATAATAAGTCATAATTTTTCTTAACATTAAGTAAACTTTTGCCAAATTTCATTCATTATTTCAACTAAGTCAATGCACTTGAAAAGCAATTGTATGTAAGCCAGAATATGGGACTATCTTATAGTCTCCCAAATGGGTTAGTATAAAACATACAAGTAGCATTGAGGATAACAAAAATCAACCAGAGTTATTGAGTTAAACTGTATTTTGAAACAAACTAACATAAAAGTGTAGGAAATAAACATTAAAATATTTGCCTCCATGAAAAATAAAAATTCAGTTAATGATCCTGGTACGTATCTGACATCATATTTACCAATTTAGACACATAATGTAAAAAATATTTAGTCTGTGACATAATATTATATGACATAATGTTCAATAGATTTTTTCTTGCTCAATTTATTTAGATATTCTAGCAATATATATGCAATACCAGAATTGTTACTTTTCCATTCAAACATATAATTTGAGAGTTTTATTTTTCTTAATGGACACATCTCTGTGATGCACATTCAATCAATAAAACTTGAGTGGGGAATAAAGCAACTCATTCTTATAGGCTTGTCTTTTCATTATAATAATGTTAGCATTTATCATGATAAAGCTTAAGTTGTGATTCCGAATTGCTGTTAATTATGCTGTTTCATGACTAAAGTGTTCTCCTGTGTTTTTCTGATGGCAGGATGATGAGGTAAGGGAAAGCCGATTCAGCTTCACTGCCTATGGCATGGGGCCGTGTCTGCAAGCAAAAGAGAGTGTGACCCCCAAGGGCCCAAACCGTCCTGTCCAGGTAATGCCAGAAAGCCCTGATGAAATGAGGAAGATCTTCATCGACCGGGCCAAGAAGATTGACACCATCTCCCGAGCCTGCTTCCCACTAGCCTTTTTGATTTTTAATATTTTCTACTGGGTTATCTATAAAATCCTTAGGCATGAGGATATACATCAGCAATGAGATTAAGTCTCCGGGGTCATGCAAGTGCCAACAGTCAATTCGAATGAAAGTGTTTTCGCCATAAGGGTGTGTGTGTGTGTGTGTGTGTGTGTGTGTGTGTGTGTGTGTGTGTGTGTGTTGTACAAATGATGACCATTGTATTAAAATGCATAGAGGAAGGGATTATTATGATTTGCTATGCAAAGTCATTGAGGCAAGTTAAGATTCTTTTAATGGATACCAAATATATATTTATGTATTATAGACATTCTATTTCATATTGATTTATCGGCTCTTTCATAGTAAATCACATTAGTGGAAGTATCACTGCCAATGTGTTTGTACGTTATATAATGTCACATAATAGCACACGTGAAAACTACTTTGGATTTCTTGATTTTTAATTTCGTAATAATCTTACAAAGTAAAATTTTCACAGTGAACTTTATACAAAGAGAAAAGGGAAATGTTGAAGATAAATTAGTAGCTTGAGGCTTTAAAATATTTTCGTATACTGTAGTTACAGATAGAAAAAAATAATAAGTTAATTCAATGGAAAACTAGTTTAATAGTAATAGAAAATTGTACATACAAATACTATCAGACCAACTTATGTAATAACAAAAAATTCAAATTAGAAGATTAAAATAAAGAAATTTTATTATTTAGATAATAGCTTTTCTTGTTTAGGATATTAAATTTTGCTCTTTGAAAATTCAGAATGAATGGCTCAAGAGATCACATTCTATAAATATCTACTTTTCTTAACTGTATATGTCTATGAATGAAGGTGAAAATACTGAAAACAGCATTGTTGTGTTTGAATAAGAGTTTTAGCTATGTATCTATGTGTTTTTAATTATTGATAAACACGGAAAACTTCAAGCCAGTACCCTTGTTTTGTTAGATTTTTAATAGCTGCTTACTTGTCTGTATGTAATGATGTTTAATGTTTTTATAGAATTGAACACAGTTCAGTAAGATTTTTACATTTTAACTTAGAATGAGACTTTAAAATCCAATGGTATTATAGTATTTACATTTTGATAAAAATGAATTTAATGAACATAAAATTGGATTTATGAGAGATTTTTAATAATAAAAGTTTTCCCATCAAAGTTATATGATTTCAAACTCCTAGCTCCAAATCTAAGGAGGGAAGATTTTAATCCTAAATTATAAAAATAAGTTATTTCTATAAAGTGAGGATTGACAGTTTTTATAATTGTGAATCAATGATTTTAATATATAAGCCATTCACTTGATGTGAATAATTTTGAATAAAATTTTTACCTAAAATTTATCAACAACCCCATGGAATTATTTCAACTACAATGGGGCATTAACTCATTTTGTGCAGTGTAATTAAGTGCAACTACATAACAGAGTTCTTGGTTAAAATGAACCAAACTCTGTTTCTTTTCCCATTTTGCTCTATTTGTATTATTTTACCAATACTGTATTTTTAAAGAGCCCTGAAATGCTTCTTAGATATGCATGATTATTGGTCAGATTCACTAAATGGAAACTCAATGTGCCAAATTACTAACAGAGGAAGGTTTAAACATTAAGAAAACGATGAACTCAGAATTCCAAGGAAAAAACAGTCCAGTTTTGAACCAGGTGGCAATCTTTTCTGACCTTTAACCATCTCAAACTAAAAGTAAAAACTGCCATTTAAAGCTAAAAATTTCTCAATGTTTTTGAACTCTGGTCTAGCCACTTCTAAGTTTTAAAAATAACTTTTAAAAACTAATGTATCTTCAACAATTTTTGCAACTAAAAGGCCAAATTCCCCTTGTTTATAAAAACATGCCTAGATCTTTTCAAACTAGAAAAGTACCTTATAATTAGCATCTTGAGGTAGTCTGTGCCTGGACAATTCCTGTGTCAAACCCTAATATTTCAAATTAAGCCAATGAGAAAACTATTAGTATTGAGAAAATAAAGCGTGTGCATACATACTAATTACCCACACATAAGTTGCAATTCTAATATGGATATTCTGAAATATTTTTATCTTTTCTTAAATATATTTTTATTTATTTCAGAGAGAAAGGAAGAGGGAGAGAGAGATAGAAATATCAATGATGTGAGAGAATCATTGACTGATTGCCTCCTGAATGCCCCTCAATGGGGATTGAGCCCACAACGCAGGCGTGTGCCCTGACTGGAAATCCAACCATGACCTCCTGGTTCATAGGTCAACGCTCAACCACTGAGCCACACCAACCTATGAATTTTTAGGAAATCTTATACCTATATATATATATGACATATATATGACATTCTCTGTCTCTCCCAAACATTAGAATTGGAGTTCAACTATAGTAAGGATCTAGAACTTCTTTTTATTACTTAAAATAGATTCCAGAAAGAAACTTGGGGAAGCAAGAAAACCAGAATCTTTTCACTTTTTTATTTCTTTTTAAATATACACTTCTATTGATTTCAGAGAGGATGGGAGAGGGAGAGAGAGATAGAAATATCAATGATGAGAGAGAATCATTGATTGGCTGCCTCCTGCACACCCCCGACTGGGGATCGCCTGCAACCCCGGCATGTGCCCTGACTGGGAATTGAACCTGGGACCCTGAGTCCACAGGCTGATGCTCTATCCACTGAGCCAAACCAGATAGGGCAGCCAGAGTCTTTAAAACTTCTTCAACCTTTCTGGATGTTTCTCCATAACAATTACTCACCTGGAGAGCCCATCCACCTCCTAGCTCCTGGATTTAAGAAATCATTATGACTGTTCTATTATCAATTTTTAGTCCTGTTCTGTGAGTATATTCTAATAATCTTTATCTGAATTTCGAATTATAACTTTTGAATTATAAATTTTATTTTAAAACCTAGATAGCCCTAAAATATGAATACATATATTGGGTTTATGAATTTCTAAGATCCTATGGAAGATAATGGAAATTTTAGAAAAATAAAGTGAAAAAATAAGCCAACATGTTTCACAGAAGAAAGCAGGTGGTTAACTACTCTGCCACTCTGTGCTATGTAAGTAGTTATGATTTTAGGAGAAAAATAAGGCTTTCATGCCATCATCTTTTTAAAAATATACTTTTCTGTTCTTAACACAATAAACCTCAATCTGCTAGTCACTTTGGAGAACTTGAGTATTATATTGATAACTCACTTTCCCTTTCATCTATAAAGTACACAGTACACATTCCATGAAGTAGATTCAAGGGAATAGGGGATTGTCCCATATTAAAAATGGAAATACTCTCAATATTGCAAGTAAGAAATTGGCAACAGTTAAATTTGCAGGAGTGTCCCTAACAACTGAGAGCATTACTAAGAAGGAAACAGAATGAAAACATGCTGGAGTCCTAGATCCATCAACCATTAACCACCTTGAAGGTCACATCTCCTACTCCAAAATAGATTCTACATATGTTGCAACACAGATAATAAAGCCAAAGCTTTCCAAATTTATCAGCATATATCATCTGTGTTTCTCATCTAGTTGATGGTGAACTAGTAAAATAAAAGCAACCATTCCAAGTATACAACATAAACTTACACACAGCCTGGCAGTATTTATTAATGCTGACAAGGCAAAGTAGAATAATGGACTTGATTAAAACACATTAAGAGAATAAGTATGGTTTCTGCCCACAAGACATTTTCATTTTAACAGTGTATTTAAGGCAAATATAATCAATGGACATATAACCTATATTAGTCAGACATGGACTTACTGACTCAGAGAATTTTTGCATCTTTGTCATTGCAAGTTTGTCTTTTGAATTGTACCCACCTATTAAGCACAGTTCTGATAGCCACATCTTGCTTGTTAATTTGGGTATTCCATTTTTGAAGGAGATTATTTCATTGCCTGTGTTTGACTTCTGGACTGAGTTACATGCTATTAGAGAGCTATTGAAACTTTTAGCACCATTAGCTCTGACAGACTATAAACTTAACTTGCATTGTCAGTTGCTGCCTTCATGTGCATTTCAGAGAAGAATCTAGTTGCAAAATTGGCACAATTCTTTCTGAGTGACAAATTTCGATGTCTCTTAAAAATGTACCCCAAATTGTCTGTTCTGCTCAAGAAATATTAAAGGAGTTTCTAGTGCAGTTTTTCAAACCATTTTGACAAGATCACTTTCTGTAACTGAACCTGTCTGAATAACGAGCAATGGAAAGGTCCAGCCATAAAGATTAGAATTCTAGAGACGTCTGAAATTTGGAAAATAATGTCAGTCAAGTTTGTTCTCCACAATTCCTTCATAAGTCTGTATTGCCTCCTCTCTCTGGGACCACAGTGCCATTCATAAGCACTGCGGGAATTATCATGTCTATTTCAACAATCACGGTGTAATAGAACCTTTCACTAAACACGTCATTCTCTCCAGTTTCCATGTCATATATTAGACCTTGAAATTTATCAGCTCATCCTTTGACATTGTGAAGAGATGCTAAAAATGATAAGAATTACAGCTTGTAGCTATAAGACAATTTGATGCTGTTTAATACAATATTTTAGAAAATAAAGTGCTCATAGATAAACACACGGACTCCTTCTCAGTTGAGTGCAAATGGAATACCCATAATGCCAGCAGCACTTTTATTTTCCCTCTGCAGGTACGTTGATTTTTACGTTCTTGTCCATCTACTACAAAGTGGTAAAATAAAGCGATCCCATTTTATTCTCACTGTTTCATAAACTCTTCAAGAACAAATAATCAGCATGCACAAAGAATTTAGTAACTTAATTAACTTTAAAATTAAATGTGCCTCCCAGCCCCTATTCCGCTCTAAAAACTGATACTAACAAGTAAACTTCCATAGGGAGGCAGCTGCTGTTGTAAATACTTAAAAAGTGGAGGTATGCACATTCCTCATGACAAAGATGCCTGCAGCCCATGCATAAAATATAACTTTCTAGGATTTGAAAATAACTGGGGCAGGAAATTATTCTGGAGAAGCCTCTCCCAGGAATCACGCCCAAAGAAAGAGAAATGCTGAGCTGATAGCTGGGATTGCCTCATTTTTCCCCTCGGCACTTTCCAGCTTAATCTGCCTTCATCTCTTTCCACACACACACACACACACACACACACACGTTATTAATGGAATAAATTCCTTCAAAGTGAAAATGCAAAATGATTCAATTTTCTGGACAAAGGTCCATAATTCTGTGACATGTTTTGCAATATAAATGGGAAATGTGAGCAGTGTAATCATTTGATTTGGCCATCTCTTAATTACAAAGCCATATTTTGCCTCAACAACATATGAGTAAAGCTCCATGGATCAAGTTTTTTTTCAACTATTAACAAAAGAATTCTAAAAATCTACTTGGACTATCTTTGAAGAATGACTATTTGTCAAACCGTTCCTCTATAAGACAGCTACTAATAACTTGGAATATTGGATGATTTTATAGTGTCGTAGGCAGTTTTCTCAGTATTTTCTATGGTTATACATAAGCAAAATAAGAGGAGAATTTTAAAGGTGGT